TAGACCGCAGAAACAAAGAAATGCAGGCCATTCAGGCACCACATGACTCAGGAGAAATAGCCAAACTTTTCACAAGTAGGTTGACGAACTCCAAAACAGCCTATCCGAAAATAATACACTTAGACGGCATTCCTTACGAAAATACTGAGGCGATATGTTTAGCACTTCGCCAGATTATATACCTTAGAGAACGATGAGGTCGTGGATTTCCCACGTAAAACAGACGAATGTTTAAGTGACATACTTTTCACCACACGCGAGATCGATAAAGCTGTCACAAATCTTAAGCTTAGTAACACTATTGGTATATCTTCTATTCTGCTGGAAAACAGTGGTAATGACATGAATTTACTCCTACTCAGGCTATACTCAATTTTACGAAACGACGGGACATACCCTACCCGCTGGAAGAAGTCTTATATTGTACCTATCCATAAATACGGACCTATAGGTGACATCAACAACTACCGCCCCATCAACATCACGTCTGTAGTTTCACGTGTAATGAAAAAGATAGTAAAGACTCAAATCATTCAGTACTTTCTGTCAATTGACCTACTATCCCCATCCCAATACGGTTTCTTAAGTAGAAGGTCGTGCATTACTCGCCACTTAGATTATTTTGACTACATTACGCAATGCATTGATAATGGGCGTTCGGTAACAACATTATTTCTCGACGTTAGCAAGGCCTTCGATAAAGTCCCACATATCAGACTCCTAACAAAATTCCAATCCTACGGAATAACCGGAAAACTTCTCAAATGGATAAATTCTTATCTCACAGAAAGAGAGCAATTAGTCAAAATCAACCACCAGCTGTCTCCATCAAAGCCGATAACTAGTGGTGTAATACAGGGTAGCGTTCTTGGCCCTATTCTATTCCTCTTATTCATAAATGACATAGTCTCTGTGATCGAGTATGGCAAGCCACATCTCTTTGCAGATGATCTCAAGATGGTATACGTTTACGCGTACGATGATATGAGCGTCGAAAGCAAAATCCAACATGACTTAAACAATCTAGGCGATTGGAGCGAAAAGTGGCAGCTGACTTTCAACCCAGACAAGTGCGGTATAGCCCACCTTGGACGCTGGAAACCGAGAATGTGCCTATATATGTACGGTAAGCTCCTGTCGAAACTGAACACAGTCACAGATCTCGGGATAACATACTCAGATCTAACCTTTTCCGGTCATGCAAATAAAGTTGTATCTGACTGTGAACGACTTACTTGCTTTGCACTGCGTAACTGTTTGACTGTTATGCTGTGCTTTGTTCGATGACGATGCGTAGAGTTGCAATTCATTCAGCACATCATTTACCTTTTCTGAATCATGCTTGTTTCGGTGGGTTGAGTTCTGTATCCAGTGCATCTTTTGTTCTCTCCAGGGTGACGTGAATTAATGTTTTACTTGGTGTGGACAGCAGCATTATTCCATGCTAGTTCTTGCAGAGGCCTAAGTCGCCCTTCTTTGGTAGCTTGACAAAGTGGCCTTTCTTTCAGTCGGTAATTACCTTTTCTTCCTTCCATACCGCTTGCAATATTGGCGGGAGCACATATGCCGCAGTCCGGGCGAGTTGCAGGTGATGGTCGATGCAGGAGTCCCTTTAAGTGATCAGCCCACTGCTTTGTTTGTTCGTCTTTCTCCGTAATCAGGTTTCCTTGAGAATCTTTTATTAGTTTCATCATCTGGGTTGATTTCTTCGCGGATAGATACCCGGTTATCTGATATAATGTCCTGAAGTCTCTTTTACCTGCAGCCTGCCTGTTCCGCTTCAGTCACCAGTGTGTCGTAGAATTGTTGCTTGTCTTTCCTAGCACTCTTCTCCACCTCTTTATGCAGTCCAGTGTACATTGAAATCAAGCTTCTCCTTCTGTTGTCCATCTTTGCATTGAGTCATCTTCTCCTTCACCATCCTCTCTCTTCTATTAGCTTCCCGGTAGATGTCCCTTGAGAGCCATTCCTTGTCTTGTCTTTTCCTTCTTCCTAGAACAGTTGTACGCGTTCGCTTAAATATCGCTTTCAGAGAGTTCCAATGTTCTTCCACACAGGCTTCCTCAATGATGCCACGTAGTGTGTCCGACTTTGCTCTGATCTGTAGTGAAGGTATCCCTTGTAGTTTTTCCACCAGTTCCTGAATGTTGAACTTGAATTGTGGCTTGTCTGCATTTGTTTTCTGAGATTTCAGCTTCACCTTGAAGGTTCTTTGAACCAGATAATGGTCTGAGCCCACATGTGCTACCCTTCTCTACTTTGTGTCCAACAGGCTGCGTTACCACTTCCTCGAGCAGCATTGAGATGAAATCTGTCGGGTTTGTGGTGTTTCCGTCAGGCGAAATCCATGTTGCTTTGTGCATATTCTCGTGTTTGTATACGGTCTCTCCATTCACCAAGTCATCGAAAGCGCCGAAGTCTGCGAATAACCCTCCGTTCTCATTCATTTCTCCGAGTGACAGCCTCTCGACCCATGATTAGTTCTCGACCTGTATTGTCTGCTCCCAATTCAGCTCCTGTTCATGTCCCGTGTTGCGCACCAGCGTTGGTAGTTGTCTATAAAAACCTTTCTTCTTCTCTTGCTCCGCGTTGTTTATAGGTGCGTAGTATTGGATAATTGTTATATCCCTTCCTTTTGAGTTGAATCTTGAGGCTATGATCCTAGGTGAAATTGGTTCCTACTGCATTAGGGCTTCAACTGCCACTGGTGACATCAAGATATCCACTCATTACTTCAGTGTTCTCGTGGTTGTGGTCTGGGTGACCACACCTGAGCAGATTACTGACTCTCCAGTTGACAGTTTTGATAATCCACATCCATTCCATCTGCTCTCGCAGATACCCAGTAGTTCTACGTCATATCTTCCCATTTCTTTATCTACCTGGGCAGGTTTCCCAGCTAGTCTCGTGCATTGTACGTACATTCTACGTTCCTACTCCTACCCATGCTGTCATCGAGAAAAGACGCATTGGCTGACTGGCTTCCTGAAGGCTTTCAACAGCCCGCTGTATCACATCGCCTCTCCAATTCGAGTGAAGAATAAAATTGTTGTTATGTGAGTTTTTTGCATTTTTAAGATGTCTTTTTGCGTTGAGGTTTCAGTAGCAGTTTGATAGTTTTTGTTATGTGGAGTTGCTAGCCCCATGCTGAAAATTTCATACTTGTACCAAAATAAAATGAAATAAAAATTATCCGGGCTTGGGACTAGCTAGAAAACTGGCAATCTATTTAACTAGGCGAGGTTGAGACTCCGTTTACGGTCGCCATATTGATCCTCGAATGATTTCCTTTAATTCCGAATATTTCAACGATTATTTCTAAAAGTAGGCAAATATCTTACTCGCTATTCACGAGAACAATCCCAAAATAGATCCTTCCAGAACTGTTCCTGTGTCCAAAAAGTGTTACCTGACCTTGAAACCCCACTATTACTCTTCACAAATAGCAGTGTGTGATAGCATACTTTGCATCCACCTACGTTGCACTTATTTTGTGAAGGACACCACCCCACAATGAACCTTAATTTGGGAAAAAATTAACAAATATTTGACTTCCCAACGGTCTGTCTTCTCTCGTAAATGTTCACATCCATCAGTTTCAGACAGTCCACTAAGTCGTGAGAGCCTTTACATAAAATGCAAGTTTTAGATAACCATTCTCAAGGCCGCAGGGCAGTGAACACTAGGTCGTAGACTATGTCGTAGGGAACGAAATGAAATTGCAAATACAGTTGGGCGCAAGACGTTGTATCTTTATACTGATTAAGTTTAGAGACAAAAACTATGGACAAGTGGTTATTTAGATAACAGGAGACTGGCTTCACATAGCATCATGTTTTCAGACCCCTGTAATTTCCTACTACTCTATCTTCCTAAATATACCCTGGGATGCATACAAGTGCTGTATTCCTCTTCTAACACTCGGGTTTGGAGCCTTAAGCGGCCTGATTCCCAGGTCTCTATCGACTAGCTTGAGGGGTCAGTCGGCAGGGTGGTTAGAGCAGATGACCACACCTCCATCATAAGTTCCATTCTTGTTGGAGGTGGGTAAACGAACGAGCTCATAGTTGCCTAATGAATACTCTCAGTTGGCCTCCCAGCAGTTATTCAATTATGAGCCATTCAGCCAAAAATCCAGGATATATGGTGGTGTGGTGTAGGAAAGCACTGTTCGCAACGATGGAAACGACAGAATTGGGCTAGGAAACAACTACTTCTATATACTTGCTCAATTAGCAAGCAAGTAAGTACTAGAACACTGAGGATGACGAAATTTTCAACATCACTTACCACAATCTGCAAAAACGAGTTCCTAGTCGTGATTGTTAGGTAATTGGAGAAATATGTTTAGAGTTTATGCCTCAGTGTTGTGGTTATTATTAAGGTGTTGACTTTAAGTGACATTTCACATTCGTGAAATTTCAAACCCCTGTGACTTGACATTCGTATTCACACAATACTAATTATTTCTAATATTGTTCACCTTCTCTGCACACCGATAAGAACAAGGTGGAGCAGAACCATAGAGGAGGAATTAAGGAAAATTGACTAATTTTGTGTTAAGTAGTCTAAAGGCGTTTGAGACTGTCCAAAGAAGAGAACCGAAGTCGTCTAATTTGAAGCATATTTAAGGGTTACAAAACTTTACCATTTGCCTGAGCCAGGTTTTAGTTTATTGCTGATTAAATTGACTTCAGATGATTTACTCAGTTGACGCTGAGTCACACTTATCTAGGAGGTTGTTCGCTTAGAAGTATGAAATACGCCAATAATACGACAAATTCTAAAACGGTGAATGTCACATATATTCGGGATCAAGTTGTATTAGCTATTTAAGTTGTTAAAGAACTTTTTCGAACACCCAAAATAATCTTAAAGTGAATAAAAGGGTGATTAGTTCAATTGTTACTTTTTTTATATGAATGCAAGGATTTCTTCAGTTTGTTTGTTTAAGCTAATATGCGCTGAAAGTTCAGGCTCTTTAGGTCATGACATGTTTTCGAAATACTTCACATGATTCCTAGAATTTGCTAAGGATGGGCGAGTTAGAGGCTACCATTAGTTGGGAACTATTTCGAAAAAAAGTATGACACATAATTTCGATAATTGTTATGTTAGGGGGAATTTGAATCCCTCAAACGTTTTGGAGATATCATGTGTAAAAAGTACAATTTCCATGACAGCGGCAAAAAAACTTTGTAAGTGTTTTCAAATCATTGGTTAATACTCCACTTTGTTTATGTACCTTATTATATTGCAAGACTGAATTAATTATGTCTAATGAATTTAATGCTTTCCGTCTAGGAAAAAGGAATATTAATATTCATTTTTCGCATATCTGCACCGAAACCTATTTGATTAACATTATTATTTTTCTCGATTTGTGTGTACAAACAAAATGCATACATTGCGAATTACTGTACGCGAAATAAAGCCGCTTAGTTTAGTCACAACTGATAGATATATAGGTTTATATATACATACCTATTTATAAAACATATGTTGTATTCTTGCATTTGAATTAGAAATGCTTTTGTTTAAAGATAGAAGTTAAGAAACCTGTGTAATCTAGTTAAGGTTAAGTTGAATAAACCTTCAAAACAGCCTTTAAAGTGTTTTTGACTTTTTAGGACAGTACAGGAATAAATAATACAATACTGAACTTGAATTCTTACTCAAGTTAAAGATAACTAATATGACATCTCTTGAAAGCTGGAGGTGTGAGTGTGAGAATATATCATGCCTGTCCCATAGAAGAGGAATAAAAAAGCATTTTGATCTCTCCTGGAACCAGTGCTAACACACTGGTCTTCACATTTGAAACATAGACTTCTCTGGCAGATTGTATACTACAAGTTGTGTCTTATTTTTGTTTTAATCGTGCCTCTGAGCGATTTATAACTTTAAAAGTTATTAGTTACAGGGAAAAATTTAAATCTTTCTTCATTAGCCAAAGTTGGGTCTCTAAGAATTTCTGCTGTTTATGTTATTGGTGATGTCTAGTTCTTTCAAAGATTGAGGTAAAATAAGTGAGTTTTAAGTTGAGCGCACTGATGCAGACTGAATGTTATGCAGATTAGTTTGATACACTAGATAATATCTGGCTTTTAAAAACCATGCCCCATCATTACTGTAACTAAAATTCACTGAAGCCGTTTATTCAAAATATTATGACCAGTTTAGAAAAACTTTCAGTTATAATTGTTAAATAATAGGTAGCCATTTTTGACTTCTACTTCATGGAACAATATATCTGAACAGTCAATCTGAGCGAAAAAGCAAAGGTAATTATAGTGAACTTGGCCCTATGTAGTGTTATTAATATTGTTGAAGATGGAAATATTGTAGGCCTGAAGTGCAAACTCTTATTGTGTACGTTGGTGGTTAGCTCTGCCGAGCACATGGTCCGGGCGTAAAAGTGGAATCAAGCTGTAAATCAAAATAAAAAAATAAAAATAAAAAGAAATTTGTTCCAAAATCCGTAAGTAGCTTTGGTGACTAAACAAACTTGTGATTCCTATCATATATTCTTTCATTACATTTATTCAAATCTAGAGGTGTACTGATATGGTAAACAATGGTGACTAATCGGTTATGATTTTATGGAAACTTACTGAAATCTTCCACACTATTTAGCTTATATGAAGGCTTTCAAAATAATTAGATAAAAGTGCTGATTTGAATTCATAACTTTTGTTTTGATTAAATAATTTTCGAACATTTGGATTCAAAAATGTCCATAGTAACTTAGAGGCTACTGAAATGGTTGTAACTTAAGTTCTTGAAATATTGTGTCATAATATATTGTGTTTTAATTACACTAAATAACTTAAACGCATGGAGCTTAAAGGTGCGATTAAGTGATAAGTTCAGATGACTCAGAAGGTTGTTCATATTAATTGTCCCACTCTAATCAATCACCAGTTCACTTATTTGAGAATGGAGATTAAATTTAAATTAAATCTTCATCTATTGAAGGATTTTAATGGTATCACTACAAATTATTTATCTTACATGTTACTGAGTCAGGCATAAAACGAAATCGCTAACCAAATCAGCACATATTGTGGAAATTTTGAAGTCTGGCTCTTCATATAATGGTAGTTTCGTGTGAAATAATATTTCAGATATGAGAAATACAAAAATTAAGTTGGCATGACTAACTACTAATCAATGGAGTTTCTTTCCATCCATGAGAAGCATGTATAACCAGCAGCTTCTTAGTTTAGACAGCAGTTTAGTTTTTACTTCCTTAAAATTTGCATCACAATTAGTAAAGTTTTATAAATGAATGCCAACAATATCAGAAAACACATATGGAGTCGAGAAACTTATCACAAGCCTTTATGAACTATAAAGTATACTGAAAATTGAAAAAAGAAACTGAGAAGTCATGTAAGAGGCCTTACTTTTGAAAAACTTCTCAATTGCAGTGTGGTCTTGGATCTTAGGATTTTTGAACTCTGAGATTATTTACCGAATAACTGACGATATTTCGCTGCAGTCACCAGATTTGACTCAGTATCTTATTCGTTTTGAATTACTCACTTGTTTTTACGAAAAGAGTCTGATTGCCAGTAAGACTATCCAGTCTGACATGATTTCGTAAAAGCTTCTGTTAGCGGTCTCATAAAATAATTGCAGTTTTCGGATTGCCACTATTTGCTGAAATAGGATAAAGTATGATCTACTGATGACTTTATTCAATCAGAACTCCAGCAACTAATTTTACCACTTCCGTTTATGTCTAAAAGGGGTTAACATTACATCCTTTGCTTCCATATTGCACGAAAGGAATTGCTGTTTCATGTAAAGTGTGCAGTATAGTCCTCACGTATAGCCATTAGGGGAGTTGTTTGCAGAAACATCAATCAATATATACCTAATTGGAAAAATCCGTGAATTCTGTAATAGTCTAAAACCACTTTATTTTCTGAAAGTAAAATTTTATTTTCATTTTGTTAAGTAGCTGAACCTTAGAGATTTGTCCATTTAGGATTTCATCGGATCCATTATGAAATACCTTCATTTTAAGGATATTTATATATCCCAGGTTCCCACATAAATGCAACCAATCCATTCTTAAGTCTAAACATCTAACAGCAGTATGAGTTAAATGTTTGTCATTTTAGCTTTTAGGGCTGATTTTGCAATGAACCAGAATAATTCAGAGAGACAGAAAGACACTGAGAGTCTGTGGCACAGTGGCTAAGACGCTCGCCGACCATGTACATGGTCCGGAGTTCGATCGCCGGCCGACGCACACCTGATATTAATGGTCGACCTGCTAAATTTGGCCAACCGATATCATATGCTGAAAATTCCATACCTGGACCAAAATACTGTGTATGACAGCTGTTTCCTACTATTCCAAGACTCTTCGGTAGCACAAACCAATGATTTTACATGGGACTGAGAGCAGAAGCTTTCTGGTCGTTCATATTCAAACCCTGGATTAGCCAGACTAGAATATACCATGAACTACAAATTTTTTCGATTCACCGTATAATACGACCATCATCGAATGTTATCGGCGAGAGTGAAAAAAACCACAACAACTAATCTGAAATCAACTGAAGTTTCAAAATCCCAATATTTGATTATTTCACATCTAAGATTATTTGTTGAAGTTTAATAAAAACTTTAAAACTGAACTCAAAGATAACAAATACTGGTCAACTGACTCAATACTTTTTCCCATACAAATTTGTAATAGAACAGACACTAATTATATGTTCTGAAAGCAATGATTAGGCCAGATTGAATCTTGAAGAATTTATGTGTCATTTATAGGATTTTCATCATCAGCTGACATTAGTTAGAGAACCATTGGAAAACCTGCAGGGAGTACTGGACAGCTGTTTCGTCCTAGTTTGGGACTCTTCAGCAGTACGCACCCACCGGGATTCGAACCCAGGACCTTCTGGTTACAAGGCCAGCGAGCTCGTATACCATTAAGCCACTGGGACCCGATCCAATGGCCAGGCCATGAATTCTAACTTCTGCCAATTCACGACATAGCGCGACCCCTAGCCAATGTCTTCGGCGAGTATTTGTCCTCACACCCGACCTGCTGCACCCTACTGGGTGCTGTCCAGTACTCCCAGGTTTTCCAATGGTTCTCTAACTAATGTCAGCTCATGATGAAAATCCTGTAACCAATCAAATCCCTACAAACCAACACTTGAATATGTGTCATTTAGTTGAATTGAGTCGACAGCTAACGATAAGGCTTTGTAGACCGGTGTCCTGCGTACACAAATTGTCAACTTCAACATCTCGGTCTGCAACACTGTTAAAAAACTGTCCGTATTCATAGGAACCCGAGTGGGAAAAAATGGCATGTTGAGCTGATATGGAGTAGATTGAGTAGGAAGGAAATAAAACCTGAGAGGCGATCGTGGAGCTGACTAAGAAATACTACAGAGAACAGAATGGAAGGGAGATGTGTTTCTGAAGCTCTCTGTATTTTACTCAGAACCTGAGAGAATGATAATAATAATAATAATTCATAGTAGATATTGTCACGAAAACGATATCAGTTAGAGAACAAGTGAAAACCAGGGTCTGTCTGTCTGGATTCAACATAGAACTTGGCACCAAAGTGCAGCAGTTCGAGTTGCCACGTTCCAAAGAGCACACAAAGGTAGACAGGAAAATGAGTGAAGAGAATCAATAGAGTTTTGACAAGTATAAGAGTGAAACAGAATGAGTAATGGTAGAAAGGAATATGAAAGATTACAGAGACTGAATACATCTGCGTAAGCCATTGACAACGATTTTGAGCCATGTCACCTATTGTCTCCAGCCATTGATTCTTAGAGTCCCGAGGGCGGGCCCCAACCCGGAAGTCTGCATCTCCCTACCTGACTCAGTTTAACTGTCAAGGATTTCATGGATTGATGATGCGATGTTTTTGTTTGGCCACCACTTACTCTTTTCCAACCTGCACCTATATCAGCTAGTAATGCCCGTCCGTCGGGGGAGGCGATGGTTAGGCATGCACAGCACGTGACCTAGCCATCTCAATCTATGTAACTTTATAGCCTCTTCGATTGATTTTCCCTCTTTGCCCAACACTCTACGCCTAACGTCAACATTACTTACCTTATTATACCACCTAACGTGAGAAAGAGATCGTAGACATCTATGATCAAAACAGTCAACCTTTTCATGTCTTCAACTCGTATTGGCCATG